AGAAACATAAAAATTACTGACTGAATTACTGAGAACTGTGAGATTGTAACTTACGTACGCTGAGAGCGTGGATATCTTAAGGAAAAACGGTCACGAATGAAATTTATGTTCTGGAAAGTGACAGTACAGCGGCCAGTAAAACTTAAGGAACTTATTTTGCATCTTTTATTATAAAACTTCGTAAGTTTAAGTTTTAATTGTTAAAACATTATTTTTACGGTCCCTGGCTTAAAGAACTTATCCAGTTCAGATCATAAATATATTTTCATCGTCAAAACAATCTCAACATCTCGACAATTTCATTCGTGCTACCAATGATAGTAAAAAGGAGATGGATCGAATCTTTAAAGTTTTCCAGAGCCAAACCGAGGCGGAAAAACCGTCCATCGTAAAGCAACCCGTTTTGGACCCAGACAGTACTGAGTACGAAGCGAAAGTGGTCTTAAGAGAACATGGAGTCTGTGGCCTACATCGACGCTGCGAGCGTGAAGATCTTAAGGAATGACGGTCATGTAATCAAATTCATGTTTTGGAAGCTGACAGTGTACTTCCTGACACAATTGAAGCCAAGGAAGAACTTGAAGGGATGAGAATTACATGGGATAAAGTTCATGTTTTGGAAGCTTATGGGGCACAGCCAGCCAATCCAAGGTGAACATCATTCAGGCGTTCGCAAATAAAATGCTTCGCATTGCCTCCAATGCCCACCTGTTCCACGACAACGACACCATCCATGATGTACTCAACTTATCATGTCTTATATCATCACATTTATCGGTTGTCCACGTTAGGACAGCATTAAATAAAAAAATTACACGTTATTATAACTTCCTGCCACAGTTGAAGCCAAATAAACACCCAAGAAAGGGAATGCTTTAAAAATAATTATAATTCTAACTATAAATTTAGGTTTTAAAAATCTGTTTCAATACCGGCGAAAATTATTTCGTGTGAAACACGAAGAAATAGAAGAAATAAATTTGTCATGCAAAAATGCCTCATGAAAAAGAAAAGGAAAAAAAAATATATTTGTCATGAAAAAATGCCTCATGAAAAAGCACTGCTAAAGTTACAAATTAAGGAATTGGAAGACCACAAATGCTTAGTATATGCTACCAAATTGAATTGCATCGAAGTGAGCCCACTTCAGGCGATGGTACAACTCGAGTGACGCTAAAATGCCAAAATGCAGTGTGACCGCAGCACAGTAAATCTATTGTGGTCAGTATTTTTAGTGTTTGTACTGCATCATAAACCAATTGAAAGGTGTTCTAAAAATAAAGTTATTGCAATTGTATTTGGTTCGGGCATAATTGTATTCTTGCTTAATAATTCGCGTATTAGCACGCTCCTTTGTTAAAATCCTATGCTCATTTCAAAAGTAATTCCAAAAGCACAATTATGGAGGAGGAAACCCACCCAGTACCGAGTACGAAACGAAAGTGATCTTCAGAGAGAACTGGGGGATTGTAACTTACGTACGCAGAGAGCGTGGATATCTAAAGGAAAAACGGTCACGAATGAAATTTATGTTCTGGAAAGTGACAGTAAAGCGACAATTTCATTCGTGCTACCGATGATAGTAAAAAGGAGATGGATCGAATCTTCAAAGTTTTCCAGAGCCAAACCGAGGCGGAAAAATGGTACGTTTCGGAACCAGACAGAACTGAGTACGAAGCGAAATTGGTCTTCATAGAGAACATGGAGACTGGCCTACATCAACGCTGAGAGCGTGGAGATCTTTAGGAATGACGGTCATAAAATAAAATTCATGTTTTGGAAACTGACGGTGGACTTCCTGCCACAATTGAAGCCAAATAAACCTGAAAGAAAGTGAATGCCTTATTAATAATTATAATTATAATTATAATCTATAAATTTAAGTTTTAAAAATCAGTTTCAGTACTGGCGAAAAGCATCTTGCTTGCATCTTTCTAAAGAGTATTCGCAAAATATATTTTCTGTGCAACACGGAAAGACTAAATAGAAAAAATTAAAATGTCCTGACAAATTTCCTTATAAAAAAGCAACTAAAAAATGGCTGAGAAAATGGCTCATAAAATAGCATTGCTTAAGTTGAAAACAAAGGAATTGGAAGACCTGAAACGCTCAGAATATGCTACCAAACTGAATAACATCGAAGTGAGCCAACTACTACTCAAGTCACTTGAGTCAAGTGACGCCAAAATGCCAAAATGCAGTGTGACCCTAGCACAGCATATCTGTTGTTGTCAGTATTTTTAGTGTTTGGCTGAAGCCGAATTACCACTACTAGGTAATTTTGGGATTTTTCAGTGTTAATACCGTCTACACACAGCCGCCTAAAATTGGAACAGAAACGCTAAATCGAACAGCTGATCGGCATAAGCAAACAGTAAAACAAATAGAAAACAACGCAAAACTAAATACAATTTGAATGCTAGCATATGGAATGTTTTCAGCGCGAAATGATGATTTCATTGCTATTAGCAATTTGATCAAGGGTGGGATTTCCATTTAGGCGAGCATAGTGAAATGAACTGAGACTCTTGGGAGGTGGGAGGTGGATGCTCCTTTAAATAACTTTTTCTTCAGATAAATAATATACATTTTGGTGCAACAGGTCATTTCCTTAAAAAAGGAGCATAGCTCCCCGTTGGCCCACTGCAATTTTTTGCTTTAGTACCCATACATTTTCTGGTTGAAAATCAGGACATTGTGTACCATTTTTGTTGGTTTATGATAAGATTAATTGCTAGAATTTAATGAGATACACCAAATTAAATCTTAACAAATGTTCTAATTGTTAAAAAAGGCGATTATAAAAAGGTATAAGAGTATTTTAAGGCGGCAGTGTGTAGAGGGTATTAGATGAAATTGTGCTCCTTGAACTATCGGTCTACATAGTACCGTATTGAGTTATTTTAAAACACCAAAAAATATCTGAAGTCCCTATAGGTTTTTACCTAATATCTATATATCTAATGATCTAACGAATAAGCTTGTCAGTGTCGTTGAATAACAGCATAATGGCCAATTTTACTTTTCTTAAATATTTGTTACAACTTTTCGTCAGAAATAACATGTTCATGCCAAAACTATGAGTTAGTTTCTCTCTTTCTCTCTCAAAAATGGAAATATCTTCCAAGAAAACTAGTATGAGTTGCGCTACTATTCTCATGATCGCAAATAAAGTCACTGAAGCGGTATTTTTTCGTTGCTGCAGAAAACTTTCTGTCTAAAAAGATTATAAAAATAACTAGAAACAGACAGAAAAATGTTAATGGTAGCTAGAGAAGGGAAACGATATTTTTGTTATAATTAAGCATATTAGAGACCTTATCCAGCATAAATATTTGTCATTTTTTATACCCATGGTTGTAAAAAATGGGATTGATCGAATCTTTAAAGTTTTCGAGAACCAAATCAAGGATCTGAACTAGGCAGTACCAAGTAGAAAGCAAAATCCATCTTCCCATAGTGGTTCGCCCTAAAACAAACCGTTTTGAAGTCAGCCAGTACCGAGTACAAACCGAAAGTGGTCTTCAGAGACTTAGAGATATTAAAGAAAGGGTTCTTTGATAAAGTTTATGTCCTGGAACCTATCGGTGGATTTCTCGCCACATTCCAGCCATCTGGATTTCGGTACGGAAACAAAGGGGTTGAAAGCAATATTGATGACCTTTAAGTGGCTGTCTTTGCGGAAGGAAGGTTGGTAAGGTAATAAGTTTTCGAAAAAGAAAATTGGAAAAGCTTAAGTCCAAAGGCCCCATGATGCTATCTCAATGTAAGCGAGTTGGCATATATGCTTAATAAAAATATTAAGCACGATAAATTTCTTATTGATTTTCTTAAATTGTTGCGATCTCTGGAAAAACCTGCATATATGTATGCATTTAATTCAACAGTCAACAAGAAATCCAACACCACATTAAAGTTCACATTCATTACTTTCCAAAAATCAATTAAACTCTTAAAAATCCAGAATAAAAATACTGAAATACTGCATAGGATGTTGGACTTTTTCTGAGAAAGATATGTAGCGACTTTCCCCGTCTCTTTCTAGCACGTTTATTTCTTATAGAAGAAAAAGTTGCTGAAGCGGAATTTGGTTCCTGACCAGAGACTCCTCTTTCTGAATAGCCTATAACACACTAATCAAAAGGTATTGCGATTTTCTTTTCATTTTGAGAGAAATTGCGGTAAAAGTAGAAAATGTAAAACTTAGAATTAATTTTTTTAAATTAGGTAATTAAGGTCATTCTTTACCAAAATACTTGTTGAGTAGTTCGAAAATCATTGCAATGCTAGAATTGGCTAATATTCGAGATCTTGACACTTTACATTAACTTTATTGTTCGTGTATTTTTTTTTTTAAACTAGACAGTCGATGAAAATAATATTCAAAATAAATCGAGTTAAGTGCGCCATCTAGTGGTGGTTGTTGAGTTCGCAGTAATGGTGACACTTAACAGCTGTCATAGATGGCGCTATATTAAACGGATCAGCAACAACCTTCCATGAAGAGTTTAAGTAGATACGATGTAACTTATATGTAGAAGTGATGTAGGGGCGATTTCGAAGGCGAAGAGACGAATTCAACGAGACGGAGCGTATTCAAGCGAGTTCGAACGAAACGGGGTGAAAAATAAATAAAAACATATAATTTCTTTTTATTTTTCAATAACCTTTCCGTTCATTTCTGCTACGAATGCGGTTCCAAAAAATGTTTCAATCTTCTACCAAAAATGCGTATTTATTTGGAATCCAAATGTTGCACACTCGATTAAAAATGTCGCCATTAAGTCACGTTTTAATTTCAAGATTAATCTTATTTATAAGCACGCTAAACAAGTGCTGATAAGAAAGATATAACACTCTACACAATATTCATTTCAGATTTAGATCATGAGCGTGAAAAAACTCAATTACTAACACTTTGGCTTATATAATATCAAAAGCATGTCCTATAAAAGCGGCCAGAGCTCAGGCGTCAGATGCATTCTCCAAAATAGTACAAAATGGTCGGCGAACTGTCTTGGCAATGGCAGATTCTTATCTTGATGCAATTAATAAGCCTTTCATCCCAATTGAATCACCAATTTGTGCCTGAGAAGGAGGATTTGTTCAGTGACTGCACAGACAAGCCAGGATATCAAAGTGTCGATAAAATGTCGGATTTTTCGCAGTTTATCCGTAAAAGGAATAAAAATGGTGGAATTGATATACATGGAAATATAACCATGAAATGGGATATACAACCATCAGATCGTGTGTCGGTTAGTGCTCTTTTACCTTAATAAAGTTGCAATACTTACTAGAATTGATCACATTTCAGGTTGAAGTTGGTATACTAAAGTTAGAAAAAGGAACTTGGAAACCAACCGTTTTCAAAGGGGCTGATAAAGATTTCTGCAAGTCCTTTTACGACAAGAACACCATTTACTATCCTCATTCGACGGAACACGTGATCAACAAGGAGGAAGTCAAGGACAAATGCGTAAAAGTTCCTGGGGTAAGAATTATTTTTATAAAAAAATCATAAGTCAGTAATTATTATGTGGTTTTCCAGACAGTTTTAATTGTTGAACCCTTTCAACTGAAAATATTAATAAGTCTTGCTGTGCCCCTAACTCCAGGACGTCACAAGGCCCTTATAGTATTTACTGCCTTTGACAAAGCCAATGTTAAGCGTCCTGATGAGATGTGCACGGAAATTATTGGCGATATTGTGAAAGGCTAACTTAGACTTTCACTTTAACTACTCTATTTTTGTTGAATTCTGAACACCCCATCATTACATTTCTTATTGTTTTTATAGAAAACGTAGATTACTTTAAAAATATTTTATTCAACACAGGGGATATTTTTTGCACATACTATACAATGATTATGTGAATATGCAAATATATTGGGATTTGGAATTTGTTTTGAAAAATGAATCAAAAAATATGCGTAAGACGCAAGCCTAATGGCCTAGAAAAGTTGGAAATCTCTTGGGTGTACTACGGAAAATGGGTTGTTCCCCATTATCCTTTACTTACAGTGGGCTCGTTTAAACTTTATATATGTACTTGTAATGTCAGAAGCCTGATGATCTTATCATAAAATGAAAATCGTTTTTTACTTTACAAACTTTACTTTTTCAATATACTGTTAGAAATAAATGAATTAAGCTTAGCACAAGCTAAAGTTGTTTACATTTTATAGTATCATACACATTTAAATATAATATTTTGAAGTCGAATGCACAGTGCCTAACATACAGGGGAGATATAAATTGAATACTTGAGTTAACAAAATCAACACAATAAATTTGCAATTCCTTTCTGCACTGTGATTTTTTTGTTTTTGCAAATCAGACGCAGATAAAAGCGTTGTGTTAAGTAGTTTACAATTTGAGCTAATCACTGTTTTGCCTGTGGATTGGGCAAATATACGGCCGGTGGTTGCGTATATAGCAACTTGCCGTCCGAATAGCGCATCAGGGTCATTAGCTTCAGCATCCGCAGCTCCTCCTTATCCTTGTCCTTGTCCTTCTCCCGATCCGCATCCTTTTCCGATCCTATGCTCTGCATGGGGAGGTGGTGATGCTGGTGGTGGAGATGGTGGTGCGAGCGATTGGGATCTGCTGACTGGTCGGGTCTTTAAAATACTCAAGTCATTAACGTTCTTTAAAAAGCTTTGGTTCGCTGACAATTTCTCGCATTGCACGTCTTTCTTCAGCTCCTCCATGTCCCTCTTGAGTTTGGCCCGCCGATTTTGGAACCAAGTGATGACCTTTTAAAAAAGAAATCTATTAAAATCTTTTCACAGCTACATAGAGAGGAAAATACTTTCAAAATCAAGATTTCTGATATTTACTATTTTATTGAATTATGCCAAGTAATAACTTTAATTAAAACCCTACGAAATGAAAATTTATATAAATAAATGACGAGCGGAAGATTTCATGATCGAAATTTGGCCAGAAGATTTTTTTTTGATCAAAGATTATATATAATGGGATTTTTGGATATAAGAGATGATCTCTATTATGTGTAGTGCCACAGAAATCACTAGGGGCTTGAAATCATTTTTGAACGTCGTTTAAGGTGTCTAAAAATATGCAGCGAATATTCGAGTTTCGGAATTAATTCAGTGTAAATTAAGTTTAAAATATATTGTTGCATACTTTTAAACACCTAGTAAAAATAATAAAAAAGATTATAAAGCCCATGGGTTTCTGTGGAACCTTTTACACATATGTATTCTGTTAGGAATAAAAAAAGTTCAGCTTGTAGCAAAAAATATTTATTTATTTATTTAATATATTATTAATTAGTGGTATAAAACCGTGGTTCATTAACCAAATAATTTAAGCAGCATTCAGGATAATGTGCTCTTGACTTTGGATTGTATTTTCATCTTTAGCTAGCACCTACAGACAATTCAATACTCACCTGTGCATTGGAGAGGCCCAAGCCGCCGGCAATTTCATCGCGATCCGCTGGCGAAAGATATTTTTGGTACAGGAAGCGCTTCTCCAGCTCGAAGATCTGCTGGTTGGAGAATGCGGTGCGGGACTTGCGTTTCTTCTTTGGATTGGATCGCGTGGCAAATATGTTCAGCGTGGCGGGATCTGCAAGACAACAAGATCTACATTAAAGTCAATGTCAGCAATGGAATCGATTCAGAGAGGTGTCAGATGGTATCGTAAATTATTCAGCGATCAGTCAACTTTTTATACGCTTCACACGGATGATCGTAAAACGGAAAAGTTTATGGGGCTTTCGGTTCTCTGCAGCCGAGTACGAGTACCAGGGTCTGACCTTTCTCCGGAGATCATTGTGAGGATGCTTTAATGGCCGTATTTATGGTCGATCTCTACGCATTCACTGGCACTTTCAATTCAATCAGTGAAATGCTCGTGGCTAAAACAATTTCAAACACCCCAATTCGATGGAATTCATAATAGACAATCGACATCCACAAATCGGTGGCCATAAAGACAGGCAGGGGGTTCTCTAGCTTCTTCGTTTTATAGCCTCGCGTTTTATTGGATGATTTTTCCTGTGCTGTTTTCGTAAGCGATTCGATGGGGATTTGATTTGATTGGGATTGTGATGGCCGGTATTTGTTTTTGGCATGTTTAAAGGTAATACGGCGGCTGATTGATGTTTGTACTGGTCTTTTTTTCGAAAGTATTTCTCGGCGGAAACGGCTTTCAACCCGGCGAACTCATTGGATGCCAGCCCAACCCCATTAGGTATTGTTTATTTATCGTGGGCAATTCAATTTTTGCGCCTTTCGGCTGAGTGTTTATTAATGCCCGATATTTATATGCCCGTGGAATGATCGCGGTGAATGGGAATGAGTGCTCCAGAGCATCAACGGAAATGGCTGTTGCGTCGTTTGTTTATACGGTTGAAATTGGGGATATATAGGGAGGTATAGGGAGGGAACTGAGGACTCAGGAAGTCGGCCGATGAAAATGGCAGCTGCGCATTGGAAACGCGGTCGGGGCAACTTTGTTGTTAAACATGTCCGACAAATAACAATTAAGACACCCGAATTTGGTCCTTGAACAGCGAAAAAATGACGGGGTTGATTCAGCCCCTCTTCTGTTTTTCTGCGGCCTTGTGGTTAAAGTCGAAGTTCGGGTCCAAAGCCATTTTGACACTACCCTGATGTGTTTATTGTGAGGTTAGATAATCTACTGTTTTGTAAACGCCTCTTGCCATTAATACTCGAGGGTTGAAAGGATCTTTGGCGGCAGGAAGCACACATTTAGGTATTTTCCATTTACAGGAGCAGGAACATGAAGAGTTAATTAAAGGTTAACGGCAGGAATGCAAAGCAATATAAATGTGCGTGAGCAGTGTCATCAAAAGGGTTTGTCGCTAACACAATTAATACCTTCTAAAATAAATGAAGACATGGTGTGGTTTTATAAGACTTATCATTGATTTCTGTGACACCCCTGATAAAGTTTTTAATATTTGATTTTTTTAAGTTACCGTTTCCGATATTTAATGTCAATAAAGAACATGTTTGAAAAGTAGTAACTAAAGGTTAGTAAATCAAAAGAGATACTCTCTATATTTTCTAAAAAACATTCCTTTTTTTTCTGTTCACAACATTATAATAATCGATTTATACGACTTGTAATGAAGCTGCCCATATATTATGATTTAAAACCGCTTTAGCCTACTATAGGATCAAACATATACCAATTTTATTAATTTGTTTTAAAGATCTTAGCATTTTTTGAAATCAACCGTTAAAGGTTAACTGTATTCCATTCATTAGCCAGTTCAATTTCCTTCATTAGCCAGTTTAATTTGAACCCTCTTACCATCAATACCACGTCCTAGCCACGCCTCTAATTAAAAGCCATGGCAAGCCTCTCTTGGCCAAAAACTGGTCGGGGTTCGCGATGGTGGGTGTGTTTTTGGCCATTTGTTGAGCTCTATTAATTAAGAAAACTCCACTTCGGAGGCTGGACCAAGTCGGAGCCTGGTTAATGGCTTAACCCACATGGAGAGCCTATGTCAGTTGCGGCACTAACAACCACCCAGACAGAGTTGAAGTTAAAGTGCACGGGTATTTGCCGAAAGAATTACGACCTGGGCACCCACTAGTCCACATCCACCTTCACCATCACCTCGTGTCGTGGCCAACAAACAATGTCATCAGCATAACTAATCATTGTGACAGCCGGCGGAGAGTTGCCGGTGACACCAAGTCACCGAACCACCGGTCTACATTCAGCACAATGGATCCAAGGAGCTCCCGTTGTCTGGGAAGTAAGCATAACTTATGCCTCCTGGCAGCGTTGCTAATTGAGACACAAACAAAATGACGCATTGTCCTTACGCAAGTGGGTTTGGTCTGCTTCTAGTACGGGGAAATGTACACTTCAAAAAGTCTGAATGTGTTAAAAATGTCGAGGATTGATAAAAATGTATTATAATTTAAATCTTCTCCGGTTACAATATACTTTTTTTGACCCAATTTTTCGGCATCTAACCCACTTGCTCAAACTAATCAATGTGAATTTATTACTTCATTCTTATTATTTTTAACGATCATTGGCTCTTTTTAGAAGTGGCTTTTAGAAATGGCTTTTGAAACTGTGGTAAATATGAGGAAACTGTGGAAATAAAATCTCGAGAGACTTTCTTTAGAGCCGAGTACTTTAGGTCTTTTTAACTTTTGATATTCAGAAAATTCTTATCGTTTAATAAAATATGTTCACATTAAGAAGAATATCCGTTAAATGTGCCATCATTGCTAACTTTCTTTGGAAGATAACAAAGTTGGACTTTGACATGACACTAAGAAATCGGCCAAGAGTCAATTCAATTAAGATTTTAAAAAATGTATATATTTTAAAGTCCAAAACACCAGTAATGTTAGTTCCAAAGTAACAAATCGTATATAGCTGTAATTTAAACTTATTAAATAATAAATTATTTAATGTTTGAATGTTTTTACATGAAATATTTTACCTTACGAGGGATGGAGATCTTTTCAAGTTAAGTAACAACGCAATACCCGATATTTTTCGGAGTGCACTAACACAGCGCGATTCGAAATGGCGTGCCTTATCAACGGCCAATCTGGGCCCAGACCTATGCGCATGGCTAATGGTGTGGCTGGTAATTAGGCAAATTAGCTGGACTCTGCTACTGGGAGGCACATAAATTAACAGCAATTAATTAAATGCTTGCTGGTTAATGCCGGATCACGACCGGCTCTTCCGCTCAGCAGCCATAGAAATCC